TGGAATTCGTTTCCGTTTAGGTCGATGACAATGTTCCTAATACGGTTACTAACAGGTACGAACTTGCCACTGGCAACTTCCACAATTAGGGCATTATCAATTTTTTCTACAGGCAATGCTAATTTCCCACCAAATTTATGCGACACAAAGAAGTAGTTGGCTCCGGAATCAAATAGTATATTGGCAGGCAATCCATTTACAAGAAAGGTACCTGAAGCGACGTCTGCTGCCTCCTTCGCAGCCTCGAGCGTCATCTGGAAGGCTCTCGCCTTTGGCTTCGGTGGAATGTTGGGCCTTGCCGCGTCTTTCTTCTTCGGGCAATCCTTAGCAATATGCCCTTCTTCACGACACTCGTAGCACACCCTCTTGTTGATGGTGCACTCATTGGCATAGTGCCCCGTTTTCCCACACTTGTAGCAGGTCACTTCCTCGCTACATTTTCCCGAGTGCTTCTTCTTGCACTTCTCGCACCATTTTGCTTCGTTCCCTCCTCCTCCAAACTTCTTGGAACTGAACTTACTCTTCTTATTGTTGGTTTAGCAGACCCTTCAATTTTCTCTTCTCGCCAACCTCAACCTTGCTGGCAGCCCTTCCTTTAATCATATCCTCCACAGATTTGGCAGCCCAGATAGCTGCCTCTAGGGTATGTGCCTGACGCACTGGCACCGCGTACTCCCATGGGAGTCCCTTAGCGTACTTGTCGATCTTTGTCAGCTCATCCGGGACAAGACGCAAGGCAAACTCCATCTTCTCTGTGAAGTTGTTTGTGTATTCATCGATTGACATGCTTCCCTTTTTCAGGGTCAGAAACTGGTTCTCTAGCCCGAGCAAGTTTTGGGCTGAGCAGTAATTTCGCTTGAATTGTACTAAAAATTCTGCCCATGTTAGTTGCAGGGGCTCATTGGGGCTCAAAGACTTCCCCAGGGTGTTCCACCAACGCACAGCGCCTCCTCGGAACTGACGCACTGCAAACGTGGTCTGTAGTTTGCCTCTGCAACCACACGTCATGAAAGCTAACTCCATCTCCGAGATCCAATCCATGACCCCAATCGGATCTTCCTTTCCAGAGAAGGTCGATGGCTTGCAAGTCAGAAAATCCTTGTACTTGCATCCATTCCTCTCGACTCCGTCATCCTTATTGATTTGTCGAACTATTGACGGGTTGGCTTGACCAACGGTCCCACTGTAGTTCCCCTCCTCAGACTGCCCTTCATTCAATTCGGGCTGTTCGATTGGTATGGTAGCTTCCTCTCGATTCTGTTGGAGCAAACGTCTGGTTTCCTCCATTTGACGATCCAACATCGCCTGGATCATTGCTTGCACTCCGGCCATCGTTATTGGCTCAGCAGTGGCTACCACAACCGGTATTTGCTCAATCACTGGAGGTTGGTTTCTATTCCCATTTGCATTCCCGGCTCCACTGCAGGTTCTTGCCATTTTGATCTATACACCGAATAAGGTGAATTTAGATCTTTATTTAGGATAGTCGTTTAAACCGTCCTTATCACTCCGAAACGTTACATGTTAGTTCTAATATCGTAGTCGTACGTTTAGAATCCTAAACACGTAAGGTTTCCAGATCCGGTCGGCAACAGACCATAGATCCGAACAAATAACAGCATATCAGGCACAAAGCATTTAGCACATAAAAGCATTTTAGGCATAATTCCTAAAATAAGCTAGTGCTCACATCTCACCATCATCACTTAACATTCTAAGTTTAAGTCTAGAAATCCTACAAATTCCTAGTTCGCTTAAACTAATGCTCTGATACCAACTGTGACATCCCCATTTTCACGGCCAGAAAAGACCGATTTTGTTTATGCTTGTTTGAAAATCAGAGTATCATTTTAAATAAAAGTGTTGCGGAATTTGTCCCAAAACAAAATATGATAAAGATTTATCAAAAGCATTTCCAAAGAAATGTATTTCATTAAAAGACTCGGGATGTCATGTTCGATACAGATCAAAAGCATAAACAATACAACATAAGCCTTACTACATTATTTCGTATTTACAGGCCTATAATCCCTTATCTCTCATCCAAACATCTATGCTCATGCGCCACTACCTGTAATACAAGAAACTGAGTGGGTCAGGCTTGGGAGCCTGGTGAGCACATAGGGTTTTCAACCCACAATAAATAAGTTTATTAACTTTATCAAACCAAACAAACCCGATTACCCGTTCTGTTATCCTCACTTTACGTCCCTAAAACATCTAACACAAGGGACCTAGTCTAAGGACTTTCATCGGGGTGACAACACATGCTTCGGGGGTTCCTCAACAATTCATGTCAAATAAGGCAACCATGTGAGGGATGGAGTACTGCTGGTAAACACACAGTTCAAATAAACACCTACAGGTTGCGAGCCTGCTAGCGTTCCACTGGACTGTCTAGAATAGTCTGTGGTCGTCATCTATACTCCGCTAGATGATTGGATCATCAATAACATCTATAACGAGGCCTCTCATTATTTTATGTTGTCACACAACAACTATTACATCTACCCATGTTTTACCCAACACATTTTGTAGATATAAAATACATATATAGTTTAAATCATTTAAAACATGTATAAAATCGTTCATCCAGCATAGATAGCAAGTATACAGATAATATGCACACACAACACATAATTTATATAAAATACTTCATATCTATGTGTAAGCTGAAAGTAACTATGCACTCACTTGATTAGGTGGTGACTTGGTACTTGAACAACACTTCGTTATCTCAAAACAATTTTTCCTTGACCAAAACCTAGTATCAATACCACTAGTGTTTAGTTTTAACGTTAACCGCGACTAATTAATAGTCTAGCTATTATTACTATTATATAAGCGTTAAATAACACTCTATATAACTCATAATAATAGCCCAAATAATTATTTTAAGGTCCTAGTAATGTTACTATAATTAAATAAAAGCTATATTAAAAACAGCGTAGGCGTAGCTCACTTACAGCGGGGTTTGTAGAAAACCGGGCTTCGCTTGGAGCAGCGTTTCCGAACCGAAAGACCCTTTTTCTCGGGACTATGGGAGCCTCGGGGCTTCCTTTGGGTGCTAGGGGTTTTTCCTAGGGTTTAGGGGTGGTTTGGGATCTTAGAGAGAGAAAGAAACTAGAGAGAGAAAGAGAATTGGTGTGAAAAATCCGGAACTCTCGCCCCCCTTTTATAGCATGCGAGGCCTCGGACTACGTTGGGCGTAATCCTTGGCTACGCTGGGCGTAGATCGGATAAGGGCTCCAGCTCGCGTACAGCTGGCTCGCACTCGGACTCGGAAAGGGATAAGGCCAAGTACGTCGGGCGTACGCAACTTCGGACGCGGGGCGTAATGCGAGGCGACATGTCATCCATCCGAAGCGAAGCCTTGGGGCAACAAGCAACGGCTCAGATGCGGCCACGTCATCACCTTTCTCGCAGATTCGCAATTTTGCTTCCCGACTTCTAAAAATCATAATTTTCGCATACGAGCTCCATTTTTGACATTCTTTTATATCCACGCGTAGGCGGGAACGTACTCTACAACTTTCGTTTAGACTCTGTCGGCTAATTTTGACTTCATTTTAAAAGTTATATTTTTAACAGGCCGGGACAGGATTGGTCCGTTAAAAATTCATAACTTCTTCATCCGACGTCCGTTTCCGTCTGTCTTTTTATCGATACGCTACTATTAATGAGATCTTCGATTCTCGTTTAGGTTGTGTCGGCTAAAAACCACTCGGTCTAATATTCGAACTTCGGGCTGTACACTGCTAAGCCGAAACTTCGAAAAATCATAACTTCCTCATACGAAGTCAGATTTGGGCGTTCTTTTTATGGACGCTCTCGGTTTAACATATTTTACGACTTTCGTTTATATTGCTAAGGCTAAAAGTCGCTCTATCGTAAATGCACTATTTACGCTTCCCGGTATCGTGCCGGTTGCGTCGCGAAACTTCGACGGGTCATAACTTCTTCGTTATAACTCGGATTTCGGCGTTCTTTATATCCCCGGAATCCTTGTTTCGACCACTAAAACTTTATGTAAAGATATCGGGCTTATCTCACACTTTAATTTTGACGCTTATTTTTATCCTTTATTTATTATACATTTATAAATAAGTAATAAGCACACAAATACACATAATTCACATAATACTCAAATATTTCATCTTTATTACTTCAAAAGAATTACAATAGTTGACCTAGACTATTACATCATCTAAAATGCTTAGCCCTGAAACACGGGTTTTTCCAAGAACATTTGTAACATATTTAAACAAAGCGAATAAGAATTGCTTAGGTTTGGTTAGTGTCAATGGTAACACATGGCTGCTTTCTGTAGCACTTTAATGATGGTCAACAAATAAATCAAAATTGCAACTTCGAAACTCGCTATAAGGTTAACTAAAGAAATTGATAAAGCATATGGACCATTTTTTATTAAAATAAACTCAAGCGACCATTAAATGATTATAATTTTTTGTGTTTGTATATATTTTCATCTACTCTATATATTTATTGAGTTTACTGGAATACATGAAATTAAGCATGATACGAGTGAACAAACTTTTTGAGGTAAGAGTTTTTCTTGCAAAATACTTTTTGAGGAAGGAGATGGAGGCTTGTCGACAACTGTTGAGTTTTCGAACAAGCAAATGCATGGACAAGAGAGGAAATGCTTCTTTCACTAATCCATGGATAAAGAAATGATAAAAGGGTTTAGTACAATACTTAGGTTGTAGGGTGGGGTCGGGATTAACAAAATTTTCAAATAAATAAATAAATAATAAATAATAAATAAATAGAGAAAGAAATATACAAGTGCAAGAAAGTATTTTTAAGTATAAAGTGACCGCGCAACAAAAACATATAATAATGACGGTTCAAGTTAAAAAAAAAAAGTTAAAGACCAATTGCAGAGATTACCTTCAACCACAGGGACCATTCGTGTAATTTACACAAATAAGAATCTTGAATACACTTACCCTCGACTCCAAACACTTCAAAAAATCTATTAAAAAAGACTATTAGCAAGCAAACACAAAGGTCTATTTATAGCATCACTTAGCCTCTCGTTTTCTCTCATTTTTAACAAAAAATGGAAGAAAAAGGATACACACAAGATGGCACAGTCGATCTTCGCAGGCAACCCGTGCTCTCTTCCAAAACTGGCAAATGGAAAGCTTGTGCCTTTTTAGTTGGTAATTCACCACACCCTTTTCTTGATTTCAATTTTTTCATTTCAAGATTCTTCAAACCATACAACAACTACAAGACTATCTTTTTTATGTTTTTTTTGTTTTTTCAAAAGGGTATGAAGCGTTTGAAAGAATGGCATTTTATGGGGTGGCATCAAATCTTGTGGTGTATTTGACGACACAATTGCATGAAGACAATGTTTCATCTGTTAGAAATGTCAATAATTGGTCAGGTGCAGTCTGGATGACTCCCATCTTTGGTGCATACATTGCTGATTCTTATTTGGGTCGTTTCTGGACTTTCACCTTGTCGTCTCTCATCTATGTATTGGTACGTAAGTTTTTTTTTTTTTTTCAACAAAAAGTAGTTTTTTTTGTGAGGCTATGATTTTGATGCAAAGATTGCTTTTGGATGTGTGTTTTTAATTTTGTCCATGAGTTTTCTTTGAATGAATATAGAGAAAAAAAACTATTGGCTTATATTTCTTTTGACCAACTATAGTTAATTAAGTCCAATAATTTCCATCACTTGTCAATTCATTATACTTATATAATTCAAATATTATCAAGTTAATTACCATAAATCTATCGATAACGACAAAAAAGCTTCGATCTTAGTTATGGTTCCCACCATTAGTCTTTTAGGGTGGTAACAATTGTTCGATATGATATAATCGATCGTTAAACTTTATATAATATATTATTGTTTTTAACTTTTAGCGGTTAAAAATTTGTCATTTTAGGGGATGGTGCTATTGACATTGGCAGTTTCGATCAAATTCTTAAAACCAACATGCAGAAATGGAGTATGCAATAAAGCCACCACTTCTCAAATTGCATTTTTCTATTCATCTTTATACATCATAGCCATAGGTGCAGGTAGATATGCACTAACTTAAAACTGTCTTTTCATAATTTTTATAATGTTAAAGTTAAAAAAAAAAAAAAAAAAATTTGTTCTTGTACGGTATACCTTTTAGAATTATGTTTTTACGATACCTGATTAAAAATCTTTGATCCGTCATTGGTTTAGGTGGCACGAAACCCAATATCTCAACTTTTGGTGCTGACCAATTTGACGATTTTGACCCTAGTGAAAAGAGACTGAAAGTATCATTTTTCAACTGGTGGATGTTTAGTAGTTTTACGGGTGCACTTATTGCCACCCTTGGTCTAGTTTACATTCAAGAGAACTTGGGTTGGGGTCTTGGTTATGGCATCCCAACCATTGGTCTCATTGTGTCACTTGTTATCTTCTACATTGGCACTCCTATGTACAGGCATAAAGTTAGAAGGACCAAGAGTCCAGCCGGAGAAATTTTTCGTGTTGTTAGGGCGGCATTTGCCAATCGCCACCGCGCTCCACCACGTGATTTGTCGGAGCTCCATGAGTTTGATTTGCAACATTATGTCAATAGTGGGAAACGTCAAGTTTATCACACTCCAATTTTCAGGTACCTAATTGTTTTACTGTTTATTAGTGTAAGATATATGTGTAGTCAAACATTGTCTTTCTAAAAGAGCCTTTATGAAGAGAAGTTAGACTACAACATTTACATACTTATAGGACTGTATAAGATATACTAGCAATTAAGTTATATGTTCAAATCTTTGTTTTATAACAATTGACACCCTTTTAAAAAAAAAAAAATCGGAAGTCTGGAGTAAACTTTTATTATCTGGCTAGTATTATTGTGAGTATGACTATACATGTATGAAATACTGTTAACTAAAAGGATCACGAAAAGCCGACCTTTTAGCAACGAACTTTTATGCAAAACGAGGTGTCTTTGTCCAACTTGTTGATTGGACCATAGCCCTTTTAAAGCGACACACTCGACGAAAGCTAGGCATGATGGACACTCGTATATATCATAAAATAAATTTAATATAAAGTCAAACAAAAGGGCAGAAATGGAATTCTTTTATCCGATACATAGTTTTGGCAACATTTCATTTTAAATGTAAGATGTCCTTTCATCCTGCGTGTATGCACGTGTATGTTCATAAAAACGTTTTTATTAAATTTGTTATGCTTAGTAAAAATTATCTCACGGTATTATATACAAAAAATCTCAAATTGAAATTCATGAACATTAAATGAGGTGGGGATTGGGGACGACTCATTCTAGTTTGTCACAAGTTACAACTGTTGCTGAATTTAATTAAAGATTCATTAAATGGCCCATAGAAACTGGTTATAAAAGTTGGCCAATGTTATTTAATTTAAGTTTTGTGGGGCCCACGTAACATATTAAATATGCACACATGCACAAATATTAAACCAAAAATATGAAATCACCTTCACTGGGAGGTTCACTATGATTCAAAAACCTAGGGATATTCTTGTCATATGAATTATTGATTCATTAATGAAGAATACAGTAATGTTTATTTTATTGTACGTATTTAATAAAACACATTTTCCATCCAAAACTCATAACTCATAAGGTCGATGAAGTTTGATTTGTATGCATGGTTAGAACTTAAATACGATGATTTGGATGGTGACGGTGTTAATAATGCGTAACATAAAATGAAATTAGGTTCTTGGACAAAGGTGCACTTAAAGAAGATGGCCATGTTAATTCAAGGTGGCCACCATGCACTGTTACTCAAGTGGAAGGAGCTAAGCTTGTATTGGGGATGATCATGGTATGGCTTGTAACCTTGATTCCTAGCACTATTTGGGCACAAATCAACACCTTGTTTGTGAAACAAGGCACCACTTTGGACCGACATCTTGGATCAAATTTCCAGTTACCAGCAGCATCGTTAGGAAGCTTTGTTACACTTTCTATGTTAATATCTGTGCCAATGTACGATCGGTATTTTGTGCCTTTAATGCGCAAAAGAACCAAAAACCCTAGGGGAATTACCATGCTTCAAAGGCTTGGTATTGGATTCACAATTCAAATTCTAGCCATAGCTATTGCTTATCTAGTTGAAGTTAAAAGAATGAAATCTATCGAGTCCAATCACATTCTAGATCCTAAAGAAGTAATCCCCATGAGTATTTTCTGGTTAATGCCTCAATACGTTCTGCTAGGGGTCGCTGATGTGTTTAATGCGATTGGATTGTTGGAATTCTTCTACGACCAATCCCCTGAAGACATGCAAAGTCTCGGGACCACATTTTTCACGAGTGGAATTGGCCTTGGCAACTTCTTGAACAGCTTCTTGGTGACAATGGTGGATAAGGTAACAAGTAGGGATGGAATGAAGAGTTGGATCGGGAAAAACTTAAACGATTCCCATTTGGATTATTACTATGGTTTTCTTTTGTTCATTTCAGTATTAAATTTGGGAGCTTTCTTGTGGGCATCAAAGAAATATGTTTATAAAAGGGAGTCAAATGTAGAAGCAAAAGATGAAAGTCTAGAGATGGAATGTAAAACATTGGAAGCAATTCCATTAGGGTTGCAAGTTTAAGAAGGTTTGGAACAACTTTCAGTAATGTTACATGTTACCCAATTTGTAGTAATGCATTAGCATAAAAGAAAGTAGTTTTATGGCTTATTGTATAATTTCTAATAAAAGCCCTTTGTTCATATATTTTTAGCTCAATATCAGTCAAACTTATTTTGAACTTACTGAAAAAGGTACCGACTTATTTTTAGTTTCATATTTGCTTTGTTTTATGATATTGATATACAAGTAATCAAATGATCGCACTTCAAAACATACACGGCTATATGAAAATTTTAGTTCAATCATCTTCAAATGTATTTTTATATGAGATCACTTTTATAGTATATTAATTTTTGCAAAATTCACAAATAATGTATTCAAATAGTATCTTTGTAAGATCATTGATTACATTTAGAGGAACTAAACTCTATATTTTTTGATTTTAACTAAATTTAAAACATCAGGACTAGTCATAAATTGGGCTTTAATGGGCAATAACTATATAAAAGAACGTCTCAAAGCCCAAAGTTATTTGGGCCGTTAGTATAAAAGAACGCCTACATGGGGCGGGCCAATTAGGTTTTCATAACTTTTTTGAATAATAAACGTGTTTTTCATTTGCATAAGTACAAAAGCATAACAAAATCACAAAATACATATGATATATGATAATAAAAATATAAAGAAAAAAAGATTGTATCGTGATTTAAGTGGTTCTAGGGTTGAACATGAGTCGAATTTTGGATAAAACCGAACCCAACCTGTTCATTTCGGGTTTTTGTTTTTAGAACCCATTGGTTTAGTTTCTCGGTTTTTAGGGGTCGATTTTTCGATTTTCCAGGTTCAACACATAGATTAATGAGTTTGGGTTTTCACCCATTATCCAACAAATGTAAACAAACTAACATAATAACTAATATTCTTTTCCAATTATTTAAAACAATCAAAAACATCAAAATCAACTACATAGTTCAAGGAAATGTTAAGACTACCATATTTTAAAGTTTACAATCAAAATATGAAAAATCAAAGTAAAATAGAAATTGTCCATTAACAATCATTGGATCCGGATTATATTGCTTACTTCTACTTTCAGCTTCATCAAGAGTTTTTTGAGATCCTTCCATCCACATTGAAAAACGAAAGATTTAACATAAATTAAACATAGATTAACCAAACTTCAATTTAACAATTAACATAAATTAAACACAAATTAACCAAACTCGGATTTAACATCAATAAAACACATATTAAGCACACTAAAAACACAAATTCACCAAATTCAGATTAAACTTAGATTTAGCTTAATTAAACTCAGATTCAGATTAAGCTTTATTTAACATGTCATATTAAACTTAATTCCAAATTTAACATTTCTGAGTTAAACATGAACTTTCAGATTAAGAAAATACTAACTTAAGTAACTAGTAACTACTAAAAGAAGTTAAGATTAAGCTGAAAGCACATAAGTGCACCGATGGTTGTATTTTTGAAGTCAGAAACCGATTTGAACTTTTAACAGAAACATAAAGTCATAAATTGTTATTAGAGTGTGTATTGTGTAGGATTAGAGATGCACCTACGCAGTGATACCGATGGTCGAGATAAAATCGAAATGCGTTGTGAATGCCGACCATTGAGAAAAAATCGGAAAGAGATGGAGATGTTGTATACGAGACTCACTTCAGTCTTCATGTGACAACCGGGACAAAAATGTCACTAACCGTCGTTAAGAATCAACGTAGACAAATAAATGTCATAGGGGGTGCCGGTCCACTTCTGCATTCCCCTTGTGATGATGCTAGAATGTAACATCCCCCTTTGACATGTATCACAATATTGTCCGCTTTGGGCTCCAGACACGAAAACTTCCCAGGGGGTCACCCATCCCTGGATTGCTCTCGCCCGAGCACGCTTAACTGCAGAGTTCTTATGGAATCTGATGTCCTCGTGGCTTTCAAACGCGTTGTGACAAGGAAGGTATCCACACCCCTTATAAGGAAATGTTTCGTTCTCCTTCCAAGCCGATGTGGGATCTGGTGCAACCCACCTTCACCCCCCATTATAGGGTTCGACGTCCACGTCGAACACATCGACCCGTGCCCTGGCTCTGATACCATTTGGACATGTTGGGTTTTCATCATTATGTTTTTGCGAATTTTAAATTTTGATGGGTTTGTTTTGTCATGAAAGTAACATTGGTGATGTTTTTGAAATAATCATATTAAGTCTTCCGCAATGTATTCTGTTAAATAAATATTTTAAAAATAAAAAAAATATGGGTGAAAAATCACGAGTGTTACAAGTTGGTATCAGAGCCAGGGCACAGGTCGATGTGTTCGACGGGGACGTTGAACCCTATAATGAGGGATGAATGTGGGTTGCACCTGATCGCACATCAGCTTGGAAGGAGAACGAAACATTTCCTTATAAGGGGTGTGGATACCTTATTTGTCACAACGCGCTTTAAGCCATGGGGGCAGCAGATCCCATAAGAACTCTGCAGTTAAGCGTGCTCGGGCGGGAGTAGTACCGGGATGTGTGACCCCCTAGGAAGTCCTCGTTCCGAGTGGCCCAAAGCGGACAATATTGTGATACGTGCCGGAGGGGGATGTTACATAAAAGCTTGTGGATCCTTGTTATACAGTTTCAGAGAGGTGAAAGAGTGGATCAAATCTTCATCAGGTTCACCATCATACCTGATACCAATATATTGAAGAATCAGTGCAAACCATCGAGGATAATGAACATAAGTGGTCGCTTATTTCCTTTGATCACTTCAGCAAATTGATCCAAAATAAGTTGAGCAAAATCCAGGGGCTTATTTTTGATGATAGAGAAAAGAATATGCTGCTCAAATGTATTCAGCTGATCAAGACCATACATCTGGTGTGAGAGGCACTTTCCAAGAACACCTATGAGAAACTTCCAAGTAGTGAGGAGACACTATCGAAGAAAAATTATGATTCCCTTGCTTCGTGTTTTCAAACCCTAATTTGTCAAGAACAACGCGACATTCCTTGTCAGTTGGAAGAGCAAAGTACTCGTCATGAAATAAAATGTTCGCATCGAGAAATAAAATGTTTGCCATCTCCAATTGTACCAATAATCATTCCTGGATCATAGTAGGCAGAGGTATAGTAGAACTCACAGACGTGTTGTGAGAGAAAAGGATCAACAAAATCAGCATGAGCATAGCGAAGTGGGCACATAACAAGATAGAACACAAAGTCTTTGAAACCCTTGTCCTTGAACTTTTTAGGGATTTCAGTAAAGAAGGTCACATTTTTGGCAAAATGAAGATGGGAGTGACTGGAGTGCTCAAAGCCTTGACCACATTTGGGGTTGGAACATAAGTGTAGATAGTAGCAGGAGGAGCCATCGAGTTTGCAATTAGGGTTCTTGAGAGTAGAAACAGACGAGAGAATTTTTTGAAGGCAATTTGATTACGTAAGAGGCTTGTGATGTAATTTCTTTGTTTTTATACTCCAACAAGCGCCGTTAAAAAGTAATCATTTGGAGAGAGGAGGATCCACGCCAAATATCGCAGTTCCCGAACAACGGCTCTTATCCCTGAATTTAATTAAGTTACCGTTTAAGAGTTTCTCCAGAGATAACAGTAATCATACTAAAATAAGCATCTAGTGAGTGAGAATCTCAAGCGTGAAAAAAAAACCAAAGAATAAGTACCAACATCAATGAAACAGAACAATGGGTGGAATTTGGTGTATCACTTATTGTGTTGCGACAATAGAGATCACTTACACAGTGTTACGAAGTCTCATCAGTGGATGGTTTGATACGCTGAGTCATTTACTACTTTTATTAGAAGAAAATATTGGGTGAGAGAGGTATGATGCATGTAATATATTCCGGTACGAAATATACCCATCGGCATAAAATGTCGATTTTTCATCAGTGTATGGCCTATACAGTGAGTCATCAAATTATTTGTTAAAAGAATTGTAAGGTAAGAGTGGGTTGGTGCATGCAATATATCATAGTACATGATATAACCATCGGCACAAAATTTCGAACTTTTATCAGTGTATGGTATCATATAGTGAATCATTAAGTTCTATAATAGAAGACTTGTAGTGTAAGAGACGTTGTTGGATGTCTCAATCACACTATGGTTTAACAATGTGAATCATCAACATAGAATTTCTAACACATCACTAGGGAGTGGTTCATCTACCAACATCATCGAGTTAAGAATAAAGAGAAAAAGTATAGGAAATAGTCACACACTGTAAAGAGAAGGAACACTCAAGCCTTATTAGAATTTTTTTAAAAGGACTAGGCAATCTCATTATGAAGATATGGATAGTGTCAGCAGAATACTTCTAGGGACATTTTAAGTGTCAAAGTTTCAGTCTAGAATCAAGGTTTCACGATTAATTCCTTTGAGACGATACAAGACAAAATAAAATAAAAGAAACAGTCAACAAGGAAATAGCCAAAAAGAGAATTATGCAGCTTTTTAGAAATATCATAAAGTCAGGATTTGGTGTATCTTTTGAATTGAATTCACATAAAGTGCTTCCTCTTTTCAATATATTTTCCACATAAAAAATTGTATATAAAAGAGAGACATATTAGCAAGCATTTCACACATTTAAACTCAACGAAATACAGAATTAAAGACAAAAATGAGGAGAGAGAAGTTCTTATTCTTTGAAGAAGCTATTATTCTGATGGATTCCAAGCTTCATATCTATCACCATGAAGAAGATATCTGAAGGAACAAAATCTTTGTAACCACGAGTTCAACGGTTCTATCTTTGTAACCTCCGAGTTATGAAAATCAATAGGAAGGTATTCGAAATAGAAAAGGATTATGAACCACGAGATGAGATACAAGAGTCATTGTCTTGATAATGAGTTCTT